AGACAGACCAGCAAGAACAAACAAGCCTCTTGTCTACAAACACTGTGCCCTGCCTCCATTGTCTTAGACTTTTCTGGGCACCTATTGGATTTATAAGTCACCTTCGGACTATAAACATCCATCTGCAGTTTCATGACGGATGAAAGAAAGAGTGGTCCTTGTCACCTGTGATGGGCTAATGAACATAAACATGTACTTTCGATACGTTCTGACACAGATGATCTTTCATAGTCCATGCCAATCTAAAACTTGTTTCGTGTACTTTCGATATCTGACACAGATGATCTTTCATAGTCCATGCCAATCTAAAACTTGTCTCGTGTACTTTCGATAAGTTTTGACACAGATGCTCTTTCATAGTCCGTGCCGATCCAAAACCTGTCTCGTGTACTTTCGATAAGTTTTGACACAGATGCTATTTCATAGTCCGTGCCTATCCACAACATTATATCTCGTGTACTTTTTTTTTTCGATATCCTATGACGCAGATCTCCAGTAATCCATGCCTGTGGCGTTGGTAGCCATGTTTATACGCAGATCTCCAGTAATCCATGCCTGTGGCGTTGGTAGCCATGTTTATACGCAGATCTCCAGTAATCCATGCCTGTGGCGTTGGTAGCCATGTTTATACACAGATCTCCAGTAATCCATGCCTGTGGCGTTGGTAGCCATGTTTATACGCAACCTTCTGTCTCATGTACTTTTAATCAGTTCTGACACAAATGATCTTCCGTGCCATGATGTAAAACTGTTCAGCATTTTCTCTTACGCCTCCCACTTCACGATCATTCGTCTATTTAAAATAAAAATAAAAAACACAAAAACACACAATAATTAAAAAAATTCGCCATCCATCTACATAATTGTTCACTAATCGGGCAATTGTCGAATAAATGAAGTTCAACTCCACCCGGATCTCACAACGAGCGAAGCACACCCGGTGACACTAAGTGCCACCATTCAGATGAAAATACCACGGCCTCAAATCCAGGAAACCCCATTCAACCGTTAGGTTATATAAGGGCGCCAACAACAACCGGAGTAGAGCTTTAAAATAGCGAAACATTGCCTCTCATTTTGGAGTGGTTTGATATAACAGACGAACTGTCCACGATTCACTTCTTTAAATCGGCTCCGTGGCTTAGGGGTTAGAAAATTCGGCCAACAACAATGTCACGATCCACGAGTGCTGGGGTTCGTTAGTCGCGGTGATAGATTGGGGATTCAGCAGGTGATATTCCCACATCCAAACCCCAGGGATGATGGTGGTGAAGATTATCCAAACCTCTCTGCGGTCATACTAGAGACGGGTTCCGGCCTACAAGCTTATCCAACGCAGATAGGATTGACGTTTTGTTTTCAAAGTCCTTGTGCATCTGCATGAGAGGCGAGGAACCAACAGTCTGCACACAAATACACAAGATATGGACAAAGAATGTGCACACAAAACTCAAGTTCTGGAACACGACCAATGTCCACAAGTGGGCGAATAACCAAAACTTTCCGCCAGAGTTTACAGCCGGCAAACAAGAAGAAGAAGAAGAAGATGCAGAAAAAGAAGAAGAAGAAGAAGAAGAAGAAGAAGAAGAAGAAGAAGAAGAAGAAGAAGAAGAACAAGAAGAAGAAGAAGTATAGTCTTAGAAGAGCTGTCTGACTGACTTTTTACCCCACCAGGACATCACACTGAGCGATAAACACCCGGTGACACAAAGGGCCACCATTCGGATGGGGATCACTCGTGGAGAGGTCCCCATGGAGGGGCTTTAAAATAGCGAAAACCGGGAAGGCTAACCCGGTCAACAAATGCCCGCAGAAGTCGGATGTGTTGGCCGAAAGGTGCAAATATCGCAGCCATGCTGTAAACGGAAACAACGCAATTACATCTTCGGATGAACGCAGAAGAAGAAGAAGAAATAGCGGAAAATTGCATCCCACAAAGGGGATGGAGATATTCTAATTAGAAGAGCCGCAGGAATAACAGGAAAATATAAAATTTACAATGAAGATATATATGATCAGCACTGAAATCAGTCATACATTTATTAAACAGAAACACATGAAAGGGTTCGGCCCTCTGACAAGAATGCCCTAGTACCAACTACCACAAAGAACCATGCTAAAGAAATATAATAAACAGACATAAATGGGAAGACTTTGCAGCTATCCTCCGAATAACAGTCCCAAATTATCGAGGCTTAAAATATTCCCCAATAGGGCCTCAATCACGTGTCAATTGTGCACTTCCAGCGACTTAAATTGCGCATTTCCGGCGACTTCCGCGAACGCCAAGAGTCTTCCGCACGCAACTCGCGCGGCGTGGATTTGGACTAAATAAGATTGCTGGAACCCATGAGCATCTCCTGCAGCTTTCTTCATTTTATGTGTTCGTGAGTCCCAGCCATCTAGTTTAGCCCCAATGCACGCGGCGTGGGGGATACTGTTGGCGGCGGCGGAAGTGCGCAATTGACACGTGACTGAGACCCTATTAGGGTATATTTTCGGCCTCGATAATTTGGGACCGTAATTCGGAGGATAGCCGACTTTGCAAACAATGGAATGATTCATCAAGTACAGCTTTGAAGAAAGAGAGATTAACTCATTTAAACACCACAAGATGCTTTTATCTCTACTTAGCACTTCGATGGGGTAAATACTGGAAGAGAAGACGAATTGGAATAATATTAATAACAGAATTAATAATTTAAAAAAAATGGTAATAATATTAATCATGGCTGTTATTCTGGTGGTACGCAACAGTACGCAGTACCAGCAGCTATTTAAAAATCATTTTTTTCAGCCCTACTGTAGTAGTAGTACATTTTACCCCACAAGGACATCACACTAGCGATAAACACCCGGTGACACAAAGTGCCACCATGTGGGCGACGATCACCCGTGGAGAGGTCCCGGAAAACGCGTTCAGCCATTAGGCCATATTTATGGCCGGGCTATATTACGGCCCCTGGTAAGAGCCAGGGTGAAGCTTCAAAATAACGAAAAATTGCAACAAATAAAAGGAAGGATGACTAGTTAACACTACTGTAATAGACGTTACCATAAGTAGCAGTACCGTTATCAGACCCTTTGGGGTGAGTACGGGCATTTTGTAAAAAAAAAAAAAAAAAAATGATGGTGATAATGATGATGATGATGATAATTAATACAAAGAAGAAAAAGAAGCTGCTGTGAAACTAACTGCGAATTTAATCAGTGATTTAGACAGAATATCCTATCTTCAGTCACCCACTAACCCACATATGACATGTAGATAAATTCTAAAGGGATATGTCACGTAAACACACCTACGTCGCACGCATAACGTTTATGTTTGGTGGTGATAAGCAATGACGTATTAATTGTTTAGTGAGATTAATTTCATGAGTATATGCAATAAATACGTAATAGAGATGGAGACAGACAGACAGACAGACAGACAGACAGACAGACAGACAGACAGACAGACAGACAGACAGACAGACAGACAGACAGACAGACAGACAGACAGACAGACAGACAGACAGACAGACAGACAGACAGACAGACAGACAGACAGAGAACGCCAGCAGTAGCAGTGGTAGTAATTTTAGTAACAGCTACAGCAGTAATTGTAGTAGTAGTAGTTTCAGTAGTAGCAGTAGCAGTACAAGTTGTGGTGGTGATGGTAGCAGCAGAAGTAATGACACAGCAGTAGTAGCAGTAGATGTAGCAGCAGTAGATCTAGTGCTAGTAGTAGCAGCAACCGTAGCAGTAGCAGTATTAGTAGTGGTAGCAGTATTAGTAGTGGTAGCAGTATTAGTAGTGGTAGCAGTATTAGTAGTGGTAGCAGTATTAGTAGTGGTAGCAGTATTAGTGGTGGTAGCAGTATTAGTAGTGGTAGCAGTATTAGTAGTGGTAGCAGTATTAGTAGTGGTAGCAGTATTAGTAGTGGTAGCAGTATTAGTAGTGGTAGCAGTATTAGTAGTGGTAGCAGTATTAGTAGTGGTAGCAGCAGCCTGGCTCTAAAGCTGATGTATTTTGGTCATGCTAAACGTCATGGTGGTCTGGAGAAAACGGTGATAGAGGGCGCAGTTTCCTGAACATGATGCAGAGGACGAACTTCTTGAGGCGGATACAAGACATTGAAGAAGCACTGGATATGAGAGCTCACAGGACTGAAAAGTAACAGAAAGAGAGGTGTCTCAGGTGTAAAGTAACGAAAGCAAGGCTATGTTTAAAAAAAAACACTCAAATTTATCAACAGCAGTAGTAATGTTACGTGCTCAAAGAAAAAAAAAGAGAGAGAGAGAGAGGTGGGGGGGGGGGGAAGAGAGAAAGAGAGGGAGAGAAAAAAAGAGAGAAAGAGAGAGAGAGAGAGAAGAGAAAGAGAGAGAGAGAGAGAGCTAATGTGTGTGTTCGGAAGTGAAAGTGTGTGGCTGGGAGAGAGAAAGCGTGTGTGTGTGTGTGTGTGTGTGTGTGTGTGTGTGCAAGAGAGATGGAACATAGCGCATTTGCGTGTAAGTGTGAACGACAGTTAATACGTGTGTGTGCGGGTGCTCGAGAGAAGAAAGAACTAACTTTATTTTCAAGGGGTAAGAATCTAAGCACACAGGCCCGTCTTACAGTCGGTTCTTAGACTTCAATGGTAGTTTATTAACAAAGCATGTTATGAAGAAGCAGAATAATAATAATAATAATAATAAGAAGAAGAAGAAGAAGAAGAAAAAGAAGAAAAAGAAGAAGAAGTAAATGTAGAAGAAAAGGGGGCAGAAGAAGAAGAAGAAGAAGAAGAAGAAGAAGAAGAAGAAGAAGAAGAAGAAGAAGAAGAAGAAGAAGAAGAAGAAGAAGAAGAAGAAGAAGAAGAAGAAGAAGAAGAATAAAAAGAAGAGGAAAAGACAATGACTTTGAATAACGGAGAAAGGATACCAAGAAAAAGAAAAAGTTGTTATAATAGCAGCAGCAGCAGTAGCAGTAGGAACAGGAAGGAGGATAAGACAGAAGAGAATATATATGTGACTACTCACCGCTGTTTTCCTTTAATTCAGTATTATAAAACACTTCTTGTGCATCTTCTCGCAAGATACTATCTCTTCTGGCTTGCCTTGTCTGCTTGTTGCTGGCAGCACGACTAACCACATCCCCACATCCAGTATGTAAAATCGCCAGAAGTACAACCAGCCTACACACACAGTAGATCAAATTCCTCCCAGCCATAGTGATATTATTTTCCCGAGCCACACAAACACAGAACACAAGACAAATTTAAAATCTCAAATGTCTGAATCGCACAGTTAACTGCCCGTATCAGGAAGGGGTGGTACCGAAGTATGGGCCAGTCACCATACAGTACAGATCTCGTGTAATCTTGGGATTGGTGATATCTCTGAACTGGGTCCTAATGATGTTAGAAGTCACAGCATATCTTTAATGTATTGTTATTTGTATGTGCGGGTATTCTCCATTATTATTATTCTTCAGGATGTTGTTGCTGTATTCTGCCTTTTTACTTTTGAACTTTCTGCATTCCAGTGCATTGTGACTAATGGCAGTTCGGGATCTTTTCTGTCTGGCTTTGTTCAGTCAATATTTTAGGCCGTCTCCTGACTCAAGACCGTCTAGGTGGTCCTTCAGTAGTGGACTCTGTCGAGGCTCAGAACTCGGCACTGCACCTGCCTGATTGAACTAAACAGGCCGAGCACCAACATTAAATACGTGCGACACTTATTTGGGACGTATACGTTCCTTGTCTAGTTTCCTTGGGACGAGTCATGCTTTGCTTATTTGTTAATGACGGCCATTTTTGTTTTGGACGTATGTTAATGAATGTTGCTGCAAGTATCTAGTGATTCCGTGATGTCAGGAGGATGATTTTATTTCAGATGGCTATGGCCAGTAACTTGACGGAGAGTAGACCAGGAGTTAAAGAGGGATTGGTAGATAATGATCCTTATTGAGTGTGTGGTTTTCAGGACGCCAACAGATTTAGGAGGGAAATATGTGGCCAGAGCAGCAAGCTAATAATTTTAAAATTTGATTTTACATGTGAAAAATACCTGGCCACTGTGCATAAAAATGACCAGACAGAAAACAAAAACGGTCTCATTTTTCCTTCCTGACTAAACCAGCAGGCGCTCAAGAGGCTGGAGACCTCGCTCAACTAGAGGCTAATGCACGATACAGGTGCTCAGTATCACATGTTCGAGCAACTGCTTGGGAATGACCGGTTGCCTGGCTGATTTCATGGCGGTGGAATGTTTCCATAGTTAGCTTTGAATTTGTCTCTAGTAGTTAAACTTTGTAGAGATATATCAGCGCGTATCATCGCTCAGAGATAGTTAATTTTATTAGTGAAGTGCTTGGCATGTTGATGATTGTAAATGTTTTGTTATTTGTGAACAGCACTTAGTGTTGTCTTATGTTCAGTGAAATAAACAGATGCTAAATGTGGTAATTATAGTTCCAGTTGTTTGATTAGAGTTAGGACTGGTATTTATTGGTGTCTAATTTTACTACTACTCTATCTAGACTGTATACAAAAGATCTCATGTCTGGGCTAGAATATTTATGTTTCTAGTCCCCGCCTAACGAGCTATTTTTCCTTATTTGTCTTGGTACTTTAGCCTTTTTGCTTCTAGTACAAGTTGCGTCATCAGGCAGTTTAGCCAAATAAGAATAAATGTTCTCTTGCCAGTTGTTGAGTTTAAGTCAAATAAAAATCAAACAGTGAGGGTGAGGGAGTGAGGACGGGAAAGGTCTTGCCATAATATTCAATGGTACCACTAGAGAAAAGATTAGAGTAAACAAAGAAGACAGAGGGAGGCATGAGGCTGCCTGGGCAACACACAGCCTCAACAACAGTGCCTAGGCTTTGTGCTAGGGAGAGGAGGAACATCACTGGCCCCAGTTAGTCTTGGAATCAAATCTGAAGGCAGCAGTTACGGGTTATATATCCTCATCAGTTGGTGTTAAAGTGGGTCTTGCTAGTCACATTTACTATTGCTACAGACTGTGATTTCCAGGCATCACTATAGCAAAATGAAACAATATTATGGAAATCTTAGTTCATTTGGACAAAGATCTGACATCACAGTATTCAGGGCAATTAGCTCTGTCTCCCTCCTCAGCAGCCAGCGAAGAGTCTCTATACTGATAGTACCCACTGTCATCTAATTAACTACTCATTTTGCTATTCTCCCACATCTGCAGTGGTTCAGAGCCAGCAGACACTCTTCGCTGCAACACAATCTCTAGGTGCGCCTTTTCACTAACATCCACAGATGAAAAGATGCCAATGAATGAAAGGAATTCCCTTTCTGGGATTATTTTGAAGGAAAAAAGAACAGACCCACTGCTCTCAAACAAGGATGTCATAAGAGGCTGATTAGGTTTTTGCTGAAAAGTGTGTTAGGCTGAAAGGTGCAGACATCGCAGCCTAGCTGTAAACTACAGCAAAACATGACAGCCAAGCATTTGAAGGGTGAATACAGAAGAACAAGAATGAAAGTAGTGACCAGTGTCTTTACACACAATTTTCTGATCCTATAATAATCTGGATATTGTGTTACCCATTTTTTTTATTAAGCTCAGTCGACCTCAGAGGTTGCAAAAATTCTTGTCGCTTCTGGGGATTTTTCTTCTGCTGCATTCACCCTTAAAATTACAGGTGGCATGTTGTATGGTTAACAGCAAGGCTGTGATATCTGTGCCTTTCAGCCCAATAAATTTTTCTCCATATTTACTGGCTGTAAACTCCAGCAGAAAAGCTTGAATTTTCATCCAGTTCTTGACTTTACCCTCGTTCCAGAACTTGAGCTTTGCATGCACACCTATTTTACGTCTGGCTTATTTTTATGCAGACTGTTGGTTCCTCATTTGTTAAGCAGATGTATTCCAACTTCGAAGGGAACACCTTTAAATAGCCAACTTTTATTCCGCCCTTGGCACAAACTGGGGCCCTAGAACCCCCACAGGGACAACACAATTGTCTCCAGAAAACCCTCTAGTTAGTCGCCTATTACAACAAGCTTGTTAGGGGCAACAACAGGCCCATATCCTCCCCCCATCAACTTTTTCAGTCCCAGTGAGCAAATCACATGTTCTTAGGCTCCTATCTAGAAGCCCAAATAAACACAAGATTTTCCAGTTTTACATCTCTCTTTACCACCCCTTGAGCCCCTGGTGTTAAACCCTCTGGGACTGAAAGTGTTAAGGATCACGGAACCCACAAAGGGTTTTCTGGGTGATGTACTGAACCCTTGTTTGAATAAGTGAGCAAAACTGTCATTACAGAAGTCATATTTTCAAACATAAGGAATGAAATTTTTACACAACTTGATAAAACACAACAATACATAATAATAACATACTTGTATTTTATAAATTTGGTAAACATACACAATATCACAAAGCTGAAAAAAACAAAACATTAGGAATGGCAACTTTGTAAGGATTTGTCAAATTATTATAACCGTCATATACCAACAATAACGTACAAAATACTTGTATAAAAATCTGAAAGACGATTTGTGATCAAATTTATGGTGATCTGTCTGATGTGTAGAAGCATGTGTTCAAGTGCACCAAGAAAACAATAACAGTGAAACAATGGACTTTCATTACCCCTTTGACCCCAGTGACCTAGAAAAAACAAAGCCAAACTCATTTACTTTCAGTTTTCTGAAATTTCCGATTAAAAAAATCCTCAGAAAAACAGCCATTTTACACATGTCAACAAAATTGCACAAATACGATTTATCATCCCAAAAACAAACAAATAATATACAAAGATGAGTAATCAATTAAAAAACAAACATTTGCAGCATACAATCAAGTGACCTGCAGCCTGCAAACTAATTATAGCCTGAATGACTTTGAAACTGTGACCCGGTTGCCTGGTAACCACCGTAGCTAATGGGAAAAAGATGAAGTAGGAGTTTCTATAAAATAATATCTTTCAAAAACAAGAGAACACACCAAACAGGTTTTCAGCAGAACAAGCAAACTATGACAATGAAGCAATACTTCAATGGGACAGACTTTCATTAGATCAAGCAAACTATGACAATAACGCAACACTGCAATGAGACATTTTCATTAGATCAAACAAACTATGACAATGAAGCAATACTGCAATGGGACACACTTTCATTAGATGAAGCGAACTATGACAATGAAACAATAATGACATGAAAAACTTTCATCAGATCAATCAAAAAACAATACAATAATGACATGGGACAATCTTTCAGCAGATCAAACAAATAATGATAAAATACTGACAATGGGACGGACTTGCATTACATCAAGCAAACAATGTTGAAATACTGACATGAGATAGATTTTCATTAGATCAAACAAGCTATGACAAAGAAGCTATACTGACAACATGACAGGCTTTCATTAGATCAAACAAGCTATGACAAAGAAGTACTACTGATGACATGGGGCATGGTTTCAAACAAACTACAATAAACTTGCTTACGTAAAAACAACCATGGCATATGTAAAAACACAGCAAGCAAACAATGACAACTGCCTTTATGTATTACAGTGTGCTGCTGAATGGGGTGAAGGTCTTTGAGTCGGAGGATTTAGGGCCACATGGCTAGAGCAGTCACCATGGACTTTTGTCCCCCAAAACAATATACAGTGACTCTTCACATTACGCCAAAGTTTAGTGTCATGTCATGTTGAATCGGTCGTAAGTCAAATATATATATATATATATATCAGCTTCCTTCAAACAAGTCACACAAATTGTACATAAAAGACAAAAATTCATATATGTATAATTATTAGGGCTGTACCAAATATTTGCTTAGTATTTGCTTTGGGGTCACTGACAGTCAAATCTGGTGGAAAGTTCCAGTTGTTCATCCACTTCTGGACTTTAGTAATGATCTAGAACTTCAGTTTGTGTGCACATCTGTTTTACAGATCTGGATTATTTGTAAGCAGACTTGGTTGCTCGCACCTCAGGCAAATGCACTTCGACTTTGAAGGATACACCGCTAATTAGTGGACTTTTACAACACGCTTGTTAGGGGCACAGTGGGTCGATAGGAAGATATGAGGTTCTGCTTCTGGCTTTTCATGATACAGGGCCGCTACGGCAGTCGTGAAGGCCATCCTGGGTCACCCAAAAATGTCCTGGCCTATAGGGCTCTGGTGAAACTGACAGAGCTAGAAATAGATTTATTATCACTAGACAGAAT